CCCGGGGCCGGGGAGGGGCAGCGCCCAGAGCGCCCAGCACAGCCACAGTGGCCGCATGGGACCGCGCACGAGAGCACGAGCAGGAGCAGCGGAGGCGACAGACATGTCCCCGGGGGAGGCTCCGGGAGGGTCCGGGCTGGCTGTGCCGAGGGTCAGGCTGGGCCGGCTTTATAGCCAGCCCTGGGCCGGGCCTGGGTGGGGGGAGCCAGGCCACACCCCTCGGACCTCCTGGGAGCTCAGAGGCCAGGCGGGTCCAGGAGCCTGGAGGAGGGGGCCGTCTAGAACGGGCACAAAGGCCTGTCTGGATGCCACACCAGCCTGGGGCCTCTGGGCCCTGCTGTCTGGGCAGCTCAGGGATTGTTTTAGTGCCTGTTGAATTTCCCGGGCCCTACCCCGGTCCCAGCCTATGAAAAAGTGGGCCTATTCTGTAAGAAAGAGAATTCTATCGGGCAACTGTTTAAATCTCTTTCCTAGAGGCCAGTCAGGGTCTCCGTGTGTTCGTCAGGAAGGAAGGAGGGTGAGGACTCTGCATTCCTGCCTGCTCTGGGCCAGGCCCCATTCAGCGAGCTCCCGCAGAAGCCCGTGACCCATCTTCTCGCCTTCTCTGTCCCTGCGGCCCCCCTCCTGCTCCTCTCCTCAGGCCCTCGGAGGACCGTGTGCTGTCCCTGACCGAGGAAGCTGCTGCTGTCAGGCCCGGCTTTCTGGCTGTGCCACGAAGGGCAACTTTGCAAGCGTCTTCGCAGTCCCACACGGAGGTCCATCAGGCTGTGCCAGTCACCCTGGGAGCACTCCACGCCTTGAGTCCGGCTGTGGGCTCACACTGGTGCTCAGGGGGACCCGGGCCAAGGGACAGGGACCTGGAAAGCGAGGCCATAGCTGCCCAGAGTCATGTCCTGTCCAAAGCCTCAGGTGGGGAGCACACGGGGGTGGGAGCCTCCCGGGGCCTCCCAAACACAGGGTTTAGACCGGCTGGGTACAAATATGGGGTCTGTGTGCCTTGCTGGCTGTTGGACCTTCTAGCAAGTTCCTCAAGGCCTTAGTGACTTAGTTTCCCCTTCTGAAGGAGAGGTGGTAATAATCGGGTCTCTTTCACAGGGCTAGTCTGGAGAGCATTAGCACATGGAGGAGGTGCATCCCAGAGCCTGGCCCACAGTAAGTGCACAATAAGGGTTTGCCCCCATTATTACCCGTGGCCTTTCTAACAATGGCCCCAACAAGAGCAATCATTTCTAGAATGCTCACCGTGTGGCAGGCACTGTTCTCAGCTCTGAGCAGGTATTTGCAACAACAGAGAAGGCAGGTGTCCACATGCACCTTCCAAATGCAAAGTCAGAATACCGCTCAGGGAAGGAGCAATGCAGAGGGAGGGAGGGGCTCACGTCTCCTGTGGTCTGAACACCCCCTGCACCGCGGGGCCCCACGGGCCTCCTGCTCTCTCTGGGCCAAGTGCGGCCTCCACCGGGGAGGAGAGCTGCGGCTTTTCTTTGCAAGTGATCAGCAGGGACTTACTTGATGCAAACATTTGGGCCTTAAGTCAAGCCAAAAGGTGCAGAGTGTCACATTCGCAGGCGACCCAGGACCCGTGGCCCTTAGTCCCTGGAAGCTATCCCGAGCGGCTGTTCCATAAATATGCAAGAGTCCACTTGCAGAGAGGAAGCCCGGTGGCTTATCACGGGCCAGGATGGTGCCAAGGAAGTAACACCCGGGCTGCCCGTCGCAGGCCAGGGACCCCCTCCCCAGGCCCCCATCGTCTAGGCCCCAGGAGCCCCCTGGGGGCTGGAAGTTCACAATGAGGCCATGTGGCCCCCTGTGTTGGTTTCCACAGGGACCTGCTGTCCCAGGGCTGGGGGAGGTCAGGCCCCCGGTGCTGCTACTCCCTGGCCGACAAGGCACGAGGACACGAGGCTCTCCCCCCGACCCCAGGAGGCCCCTCAGGGCTGAGGACCCCTGGGAATCCTCAGTGTCCCGAGGCCCTTTTGTCCCTGGGGTCACCGACCAGTTACACTGAAACTTCACTTTCCCAAGAAGTCAATGGGCAAGACCGTCCACTGCTGGATTCCCGCCTCCCCCAGGCCTGTCGCTGGGCTCCTGGGGTGGCCTCCCAAGCACAGAGACGATTCTAGAGCTTTGTCCTCAGTGGGAACTGAAACCACCAGCTAACACCCAGCATCTCTGACTGAGGAACGGGCTTCTGGAACCCAGTGCTCGGGGGGGGCCCCTCGGGGCCCGTGGGCACGTGGGCAGGTGGTCCACAGTTGGGAAACAGAACGCTTCCAGATCCTGGGGACCTCCCTTAGGCGGGGAGAGCCTGGGAGCATTTGGCAAACCCCAGAGGGTTTGCCCGGCAAGGGGCCCCCTGCTCCGCTCCCCCGCTACGTTGTAGACTCAGGGAGCTGAGAGCCGACATGGCCTGTCCGGGCCAATCTGCCCCCCACCCCCCTCTGCCCCCATTTCTAAAGCCAAGAAAAGTGAAGCTCAGAGAGGTGACCACTTGCCCAAGCTCCCACAGTTTCTGATGGCTGCCAGCAGAAAGCCCGGCCTTCGATTCCTAGGCCCGAATTCCTTCCACACCCGGAAGTTCTTTCCAGGGCACAGTTCTGCCTGACCTCTGAAGGGGGCAGGGC